TAAAAAGAAATTAACCCTATAGAATGCAACCTGTAAAAAAAAATAAATTCAAAAAAATACTTAAATAAAAAAAATTATGTATAAAAAGAAAAATAAACTCTTACATCTTTGTAATGGATTTTAATAACATAAGGATTTATTTATGTGCTTCCTGCGCTATAATTATTATTTTATTTTATTATTTAAGATGATAATGATAATTATAGTATGTATAATTGTTATTCGAATGATAATGATGATGATGATTGTAACAATGTAGAGGTGGAAGATGGAATTGTGACGATGCCCGCATTGTGCCCACTGGTGATAATGATTATGGCAATGTTCATGATGATTATGATAGATTAATTATTACATTGCGGTATATTTTAATTTTGTAACTTTCTTTTATGTATTTTATTTTTAAATTTTTGATTTTATTTATTTTTACAATGACTTTTTGTTGTTCAAGACTGCGTCACTATTGTATACATAGATACGTACCTAAATATCACGTATGTATAAGAATAAAGTACAAATTACCGAGTTAGTATTCCGAAATATTGGGAATTCTTCAAAAAAATCTGAACGAATTTTTTTCCATTTTTTTCAGGTCATCAATACACAATATAATTTATCAGTCGATATGCATAAGACTACATACATAATAATATGATGGATAGATGGTAATATAATAAACAAAATCAAAATGTTGATTGAATTTATGTAAATTTTGTGGTTTATTCCTGTGGGTTGTATATATGTATGTATTACGCATAAAATTATGTACAATATAATTATTATAATAATGGCAATATTGAATAAATATTTTCATATTATGTGATTTTTCAAAATATATATTATTTATTTTATAAATTAAATTATATTATTTTAAGCAAAATTTTTTATTAATGCGTTTTTTCGGACACAAATTTTTTGTGTGTTGGGGTTCAAGGTTATTTTACACATAATATATGTAGGTATGTGACACGATAATTATATTAAAAATTTTATATGTTTTTATTTTTTGGAAATTGAGAATATTTTAATTTATTATTAAAATATAAAAATACTATAATATGAAGGTAGGGTTGCTACTGTCTAGAATAGCTTGTAACTATTTGTGAGATTAAAATCTCACTGAATTAAGAAAAAATTAACCAAAATAAATGCTGTAAGTTTGTGATTTCTTATGCTCAATATATTGTTATCATGTTTATAACCGTATGAAAGTATGATATATTCGTTTATTTGTCCTAGCGATAACTCAAAAGCTAATAAGTTAAATTGAACAAATTTTTACAAATGATTTACTATAATTATAGTAAATACCAGAACACTAATTTAATTGAATGTGACCGAGGTAGTACTTCCGGTAGTTGCCATACAAATTTCACTTAGTTAATTGACTCTATCAGTGACTGCTATGTTTAATATGAATATATCACTAGGACTGCTATGTTTAATTTAAAATTAAAATTAAATTGTTTTAATACTTGTTATGATTTTTCGGTCACATCATTGAAACTATATTGAACTTGTAGTACTGAAAGTTTTGCGGAAAGAAAAAGTGATTACATGGCCATTATTTTTGGTTGAAGTTTTTGTGATGGTATGAAAATTTATATGGTAACCGTTACATAAACAAGCACTGAATAAACAAGCACCATAAAAAACAAAAAATTAAATTGGTAGAGTTGGCAGTTTTTGGCAAATTCACCAAAAGTGGCAACCCTGTATGGAGGTACCACAACTAAATAGTTAATTTTTTTTTTTATTTTTTATAGTATAGGATGTGGTTTTTAATTTTATTATTATTGAAATATTGTGTATAATGTTAGGTGATTATTAGGAAAAAAAATAACATTAAAATAACAGAGAAAAGAGGAAAAATTTTGAGTAATTTTTCTCGTTTTTTTAAAAAAAAAAAACAATGTTAGTTAATTATTAGAAAATTAAATAAAAATAAATTATGAAAAGATTTTCTAATTTTTCATTTAACAGAATTTTCATTATGTAACTACAAAGTTAATTGATTATTAATTTTTAATTGAAATATAAAAATTAACTTTAAACTGAAGGACAATTAATAGAATTATTATAGGTTTTAAAAATTTTAGAAAGAGGAGGTGAAATGATCGAAATCATAGAGTTAAACAAACGAAAATAGCAGTAAATTTCCTCTCCCAAATTCTTCAAATAATTTAATGTTTGTCCTTCATCTTCAATCAAAAACCAGGAAAATTGTTCAGCAGTATTTAACAGACTGAATCATACCTTAAACCTTGACAAATTGAGCACGAAAATTAGTTTTTCGGGTTTTTAAGACAGAACCAAGAATGACAAACCCGACATCAAGGTTAATTTTAGTCAAGCATTTTCATTAAAAGTTTTTTAATATTTAAAATATTCTCTTTAATTATTTGACGGCTGTCCGAAGTCATTGTTCAAACTCTTGCAACTGTAATGCGGTAAAAGACGTCTTTAAAATAAAATAAATAATTTTCGAAATTTTGATGGTATTTGCTTTGTTCGCTTTTGAGTTATTGAGATTCGACAAATAGAAGGACAGCAGAATATTTTATGCTGAGCAAGAATAAATAATGTTTTGATAACGTAGCAAACTTTGTTCCCATATATGGACAATAACTATATTAAAAATAAAAATTTTTTCTATAAGTAATTGCAGGATAATATTGCAGAAATTATAAGAAGAAATTGCAGAATTTTATATTAGTGCTGCTGGCTTTCATATTTTAATGTAAAACTTAAAATTGTATAATGTAGTAATCTTATATTTTTAATGAATTTTCACTCATAACATTCCTTTCATAATTTTCTTATCGATTAAAAATTGCGTTTTGTTATGATTTTCCTTAAACATTTAAACTGAAAATATTTTAAAAATTTATCAGTGAGTGAGATTTTATTAACACTCTTAACGAAAAAAGTTTCGTTAAATTTTCATTCATATTATTTTCTATAACAGCATGAAATGTAATTTTTACAGATTCACTTTAAATTTTTATTGTTATTTTGACTTAAATCTGTTAATGTTTTACATAAATATAATTAACATTAAATTTAACATAAAACTAATATGAGTAACTAAACAATTACAGATCTGTAAATTTTCACTCAAAAGAATAATAACTATTGACATTTTAGATTACTCTAGAACAACAGATTCTAAATAATTTAAATAAACTCAATATTATTTAAGAGAGAATATTAAACTCTCTTATATTTATTGCATTTTCTGCGCTCAAAAACAGATTTTTTAAAGGCAACAAATTTTGTTTACCCTTTATTTTTACATTTACTGTAAGTGATTTGTACAATAATGCTTTGTAAATACAATTTCTTATTAACAAAAAACTCTATGTTAGATTTTGTACCTTCGTGTTAATAGATAAAGGATAAATAAAATTTCTTGTAATTTTGAGATTTTTTATATGAGTGATAAATCACTTTGCTGCAATTTGTAATTTATAGTAAAACGTTTTAAAATTGGAATTAACGAATAATTATGAATATAAGATGACAATTAATTTTGAATCCTCAATCAAAATATTTTCCAGCTTACCGAAGCAAACCACCATTTTCTAAGCTAATATTCTCAGATAATTATAACAATACCTTTTCTACCTTAAATATTTTTATTACTCATCTATCTTTTTAATCTTACTTTAAAAAAAATCAAATAGAAAGAAATTCTAATAATGTTAATAAAAAAATATTTTCATGATTTATTTAAATCTTACGATATCACAAATTTTTACGGTATAAAAGATAAATTTTTGTTGATAAACAAAATCTACTGAAAAAAATATGAGCACAAAATAATAAAACTGATTACGTAATACTACAAATAACAAAAAATTGTTATACCCCTATACAACAATAACATTTTATAGTGGGAAAGTAAGAGAAATATTACACGAGAGAATAATATTGCTTAATGCTTATCAATACATATTATCAAAATATTTAGAGAAAATTACTAAAGTAAAGTAAGAGAGGAAAACATTGTTTATTTAGTAATATTATCAATCACGTGATTAAATCAGAAAATTCTCATTTTGAAAATTCTCATTTGATAATACTTAATTTTTCGATATCGTAATAAAAATATTGTTTCATTTACAACATCAAATTTGTTGTGCAAGTAACTCATAATAGTTTCTTGGTGAGAGCAAAAATTTATTGATAAATCAAATTGAGAAAAACGTAATTAAAAAGAATTAAAACAAAAAATAAAAAATAATAATAATTTTATCGGCTGAAAAAAATATCATTGAAATCGACAATAACAAGATACCGTAAAATATTTTTTTTAAAATATAATAAAAAAATTTTGTATTTTAATTTACGATATGAGTTATGAGAATTACTCAACTTATTACGTATAGAGAACAAGAGAAATTCTCTAATTACTCATTCAGATATCTGAAAATGAGTAAATGAGAATGTAATATCGTAAAAATGTATTAAAAAAAATTTGAAACTCAAAGTCAATCAAGAAAAGAAAAACGACTCTCTTTGTTTTTCAAACACAATTTACAAACAGTTTCCGACATCCTTTTTCTCTATTCCTTATTTTTTTTTTTATTTTACTTTCTCGTAAAAATTGTACATTATGTTTTGTTTATATTATAATATATGTGTGTATAGAATATTATTCAATTACTTTTATTTCTTAAAACAATTTTTTTCTAACGAATGTTTTCCGCAGACTCTCATATCATTAGATACATTTTTTTTTTTTATTATTATTATTCTTTATTTTCGTCCTTTCCGTGTTCCTTCTGAATGCTTTACACAATATATTTTTTGAAATTTTTTTTCTGATATCGTAATATCCTTGTTATTTTGAACTTATTTTTCAGCTTCGTTTATACGTTTTTGTTCTTGTCATTTTTTTTCTCGTGTGTCCTTACATTTTAGAGATATTATTTTTTTTTATGTTATACATTTCGTTCTTTTAGTACGAATATATTCAGTTGATTTGTACACTTTGAACGCGACGGTACCGTTATAGAAATTGCGTGTATTTCGTAAAAAAAAATCAAATTTGAAAAAGAAAGAAAAAATCAAATAGAAATATTTTATTCTGTGTAGTTTTTGTTTTGGTATTTGGAAAAAAAAATTATAAAAGTAGAAAAAAAAAGAAAATATTTGAAAATTTTTTATCAAAAAAATTTTTTTTTTGTGTCACAATATATACAATTTAAACCAATTTTAATTTGAAAGGAAAATTAATTTTGAAAAAATTTTAAATTGAAAATGAAAGTTAAGAAAAAATTTTTTGTTTTTCTGATAAAATAAAATTTAAAAGGATTTTAAGGATTTCGAAAACTATAGAGCAAGAAAGTAAAAAACACAAAAAATTTTGTCATTCAGTTTTTCATCTCTTTTCCTCCCATTTTATACAATAAAATCATAGAAAATTTATTTAATTTTTGGCATTTTTATTCTCGTTTTTGTTTATAAAATTTTCAAACACGAACAATAATTTTTCCCGATTTCAAGAATTAAAAGAAAATTATTGTAAAGAAAAATCGCCTTTGTTTCGTTTTTCTCGTGATTTTTCCAAAAGAAAAACAAGGGAATATCAAAAGAAAATCAAAAAAAAAAACAATAAAACCCGAAGAGAGAATAAGAAAATTTCTAGTATTTTAACATTCGTTTTTTAAATTGCGATATTTCGTTTATTCCTCATCAAAGAATTTTTTCGTTTTGGTTAAATTGCGATGCTACTCCATCAAGTACAAGAATTATAGCTAATTTAGAAAGAATTTTTTTTTTTATTTCTCATTTCAAAATTTTCCATTTTAAATACAAGATAGTGCAGTTAATCACATAATTTGCATTAAACGTTTTCTATACTATTTAAGGATTTATATGAAAAATTCTATGAAAGATTTTTAATGTAAGAAGACTTTTCCAAAGAAAATTCCTGTAAGAATGCCGTAAGTTTATTAGGTTATAATATCTATGTTATCTGACTTATAAAAAGGAAAAATATATAGAGAAAATTTTATAGTGGAAAATATATGTAAAAAATTTATTCAAAAATTTATTAGAGAAAATTATTTTTGTTTCAATTCTAAAGTGAAAATTTTCAAGTGTACAATAGGAAAAAAAATTTTTGTTTTAAAGAAAAATTTTAATTTAATTTAAAGAATATAAAAAAAAAATTGAGTTTTGAAAGAGTGATCTAAAAAAAAATAAATTTAATAGTTGAAAAATGAAAATTACTTGAAGTGCATAATAAACGAAATTTACTGTTAGCTTATAAGACAAAAATTGTTATAAAGGGGAGAAGATAAAAGGAAAAACACGAACAACAAGGATAAGCGAATGAAAATTTTAATGGTCAGTTTTTTTTTGTATCTTTTCTTACAATATTTCATGAATAAAATTTTAAAAATATTTTTAATATAAAATTATAATTTTATAATTTAATTTGGGTCAAAGATTACAAAATTATTATAAATTTAATAAGGTTGTTGTACTAACTACACTATATACAGAAAATGTACTTTGAAGCATAAGCATGTACTCTAAAATATCTAGTACTTTAAAGTTAAGTCTAGTCAATTTATAATGAAATTTTTTTTTCAAAATTTTAATTCTAAACGATCAAGAAAATTATAAGGAAGTAGATTATTTGAATGTAACCTCATATTATAAATAACTGTGAAAAAATATATTAGAAACGTTTAAGAACATATTCTTTAGAAACCCTCATTATATTGAGTATACTCTCTAATCTAATATAACGTAAGTTAAATATAATAATTTGCAAGAGAAAAATATTGTTCTAAGATTTTTTTATTTATTTGTAATCCAATTTCAATTGTGTTTTAGCAACAAAATTATTACTAGGCTTTAATGAGGGTAAATCGGTTCCAAAACAAAATATTAGAGTTTTCTTATTGAAAAATGATTTCTTCTTCAAGAATGTGTGACGTGGGTACATCAACATAAATGTAAATTTTTAATAGAAGATGCTTCGGGTATTTTATTTGTACATTGGCATTGCTATTGCATTAATATTAGCCTGTTATAAGAATAGACTCTTTGTATTCGAGATTATCATCTAAAGCGCTATACTTAACATGCAAAGAAATTCTATATACAATACAATCAAGTACGAACCGAATATCGTATAATTTTCCATATAACATTTTATTATTAATTTCTCCTGTAAATATGCAATATTTTTCGTTTTTAAGTAAATAAATGAAAAAATATCATTTTAACTTGCTATCTTGCAAACAAACAAAAACTAATTTGATTTTTTGTATTTATTTTTGGGTTTTTTATGATACTTTTAAATGTTTGCAACATAATATTGCCTAAAATCATATTTTAAACTTTAAATTAAAAATATTTTTTTTAATAATTTTCTATTTTGACCTCAAAATGACATAATTTATTTTTCATTTCTATTGCTCATTCATATAGAATAATACATGAATTTGTACAAGTACATTTTTTTAAATTTGATAAGGTCGGCAAAAATAAAAAAAATAATAATATAAAAATTCTGAGATTCACACATACAAATACATCCATATTATATGTATTGTTAGAAACTAAATTATTTAATATAACTGAACAATTATTATGTACGTAAATGTGTTGGTTCATTATTGAAAATTTATAATGTGTGAACTCTGTATGAAATTTGTATGATGCCAAAAATTTTTTTTTTGGTATAATAGAAACATTGGTATTATAACTGCACATACTGTTTATAAAATAATTCTGGTGCACTGGGTAGACATAACAAAATATATAAAATTTTCGGTCTATTACAAAGTTTTGTGCGCATATCACTTGGATTCATAGTAGAATCAGATGAACTAGTGTAGTTAATTATTTTCTAATACGAAACTATGAAACTATGGACTTACTTTACGCTTTTAACGCTTTAACGGGATTATATTGTTTTAATGCATTAACAGTGGCTATACAAAATCATGGCCGTAAGATAGTTTTCCTCCCTTTCCCCCCGTCACCATCAAAGATTATTCCTCACACTCTTACAGATTTCTTTGAATACCGCAATTTTAATGATAGGAACAGTATATCGTAACACCGTCCTCATAAATTGCGTATAATCGCTCAGCATTTCACTTTTCTTGTGGGTAAAATCATCATACTCACATCACAAGTCTATTGAAGCTTTTCCCTTACTTCTTCGATCTCCATTAAAACATCGTTTCCTGTTATTTCTTTAAGTGTAGATCTCCTCTTTAAGGCAATCTTAATATACACATATGCAATGTATAGACGCAGGACCTTATATTAATAGAAGCATTCAAATATATAATTAAAAAATAATAAATCTTACACATGTTCCAGAGAGAAAAATTTTAACATAAAACAGAAAGGCTAACCAAAACTTTTGCTTTTATTTCATATTCACCGGTGGGTGGGTAGAGGGAATTGGTTAATAAGAGGGAACATAAAGTAGTGGGTTGTAAAAATGTGGTAAATAAGGGAAGAAAAAAAATGTGAAAAGAAAAGGCTTCAATAATTTTTGGGTCAGTCTTGTTTCTGTTTTGTTTTACAATTATTTTTGCTTTTCTTTTTCTTTTTTTTTTTTGTATACTTTTGGGATGATTTTAGTTTTTACTAGTAAAATTTCTGTTTTTTGTTCTGTTTTGTCGTTTTATTTTTTTTTTTGTGTGTATAATTGTATTAAAACTAATTTTATTACAACAGGAAATTATATAGGTCCGGTTTGAAGCAGTTTAACTTTTATTATTCAAAAAAAAAATTTTTTTGTTTCTTTTATACACACATAAAGTGTATTATAATATAAAGGATTTTTAAGTGTCTGAAATTTAACACATTTAAAAATTAAGTATTTAAAACAACAAGGTATAAAATTGGATCTTGTTTTTTTTGTTCTGCAATTTCTTATTGTTTATTTTAAGGACCCTAAAACTTATACTGACATCAATACATTGTATTTGAATAATATATTGTTATATAGAGTTTGTTTTTTTTGTTATATTATAAAAAAATATTAAAAAAAATATTATAGGAAAATATTATTGTAAAATAAAGGATGAAAATATCCCTGAAATTTATATCAACGTGTTATTTTGTGGTTTATGGTTAAAATAAAAACCCTTTAGAAAAATATTATAGAACAAAATTAAAATATTAACAAAAATAAGATTTTAGATGTTTAGTAAATTCTACAGACTAACTGTATAATGGGCTTCCTTATATATAAAATATTACAAAAGTCTGGACAAAACAGGATATCCTTTCTCTTTATTTGTTACTTTTTTTTTTGGGTGTGCGGTAATTATATTTGAAATTCATGTTATAAATTTTAATATTGTATATCGCAATATTATATACGCATAAATAATAAAGAAATTTGCTTCGTTTGTTATAATTTTATAATTAACAATTTTGTACAGAGTATTGGGTAAAAAAATATGTAATAGCTAAATAGCATGAATGATATTCGATTTTATGAAAATACAAAAAAATATGTAGAAAACAGTCGCAATAGCCCACACGTTTAAATCAATTAAAATTTAGAAAAAGGAAAGGATTAATGTGAAAAATTTTTAAAGTTCAAAATTTAAAAGAGCTTTGGTATTATAGGTACATTGTTAGTCAGATTTTTGAATTCACAATTGTTCATTATGGTTTTTTGTTACATTAGTAAGGGGTTTTAAAGAACTCTAAAATTAATATCATGATTTTTTAAATCTAGCTCATGTTAATTAGTTAGTTGGTTGGAGAGGGGAGACCTATCAACATTCTCCCAAAGCATATTTCGGAACACATTCAGCATTCTTGATATTATTTTTAGTAGAACACTTACAGGTGTCTACCAGAAGTCCTCCAACCAACCGAATTGTTATCCTCCCAAAAAACATTTTCTGTTTAGAATTCAGTTTAAATATACAATTTTGAATTTAAACATCGTATTGCTACACTTAGCATATACACAATAAAAACCTACAATTCATGAGCTACCCGAAAAGAAATAAACGCTTAACAAAAAATTCGGGGAGTGTTCAAATGGCAATGTACACATTCAAGATCTCGGTATTGTATGATAATTACAATATTTTTTTTTAATCGAAAAGTTCACCTTCCTCTTACCCATGTCAGTTTTAGGCCGATAGTATCCTTAATATTAAGAACAATGATTTATTTAAATCAGGAAAAATCACCATTCAAAATTTACTAATGTTTAAAAAAAAATTTTAATAAAAGTATTGATAATCTGCTTTTCAAACCATGGAGTAAGTGAATAAATTATTGAATAAAGATATTGGAAAAATTATGCAAAATTCAATTTTAGTTACTGCCTTTAATTATAGCTTTAATTTTCTCTAAAAAATGCCATAAATCATTTGAAATTTGAAATATGAATTTTTCTGCTTTGACTGCTTTGGAGTATTTTTTGGTCACTATTGATGTTATATAACATTTTTAACCATACTGTCCACTGTAACTAATAAAATTTTAAATCCAGATTGGATATCATATTATATTGGATAGGTTATTTTGTTAAAATGTTATACCTATGTTAGGTTCTGTCAAAAACAAAATAAATAATCTCTGTTAAAAAGGAAGATTTTTAATTATAATTTATATAATAATACTGTATAACAGTTTATGTATATAGCCACAACTTTAAAGAAATCCACAATTAATGGTCCAGTTCTGTTTTTTCTTTTAGAAAATTTGGTATACTATATAATATAAAAATTATTAGGTTATTAAAATTATTAACCTATATAGAAGAGCCTTATAGAAAATATCACAAAATTATTTTATGTTTAAACATGTGTACATAATTTATTATTAATGTGATGAGATTTTAAAATTTAATAGGCAAAAAAAGTTAATTTTCAAAATCCCATATAACAGAATTCCCTCCCTAAAAAAATATTATGTATCTAACAAGGTACAAACTATGTTAACCCACCTACGCACACTATATAACAAATTTTTTTTCCTCTTTAATATACTTTATAATAAAAAGCCTCAAGAAAGGCTAATTCATTAAAAAGAAATGTTTCTACTCTTATATTTTATGTTCTGGTTTTGATTTTCCAGTTTAAATTTTAAGGTCAAATACCAAAAACATTTCCAAAAAAAAAAATTAATATTAGATTGTTGTAGGTTGAAAATTTTTTCTCTTTGTTTTGTAGAATTCTTCATTTCAGATCAAAAAATTTTTTTTTTATTATGAAACGTTGAATTTCAAGGCAATCATCTGCCAGAGAATAAGACAAGAGATGAAAATTATTGTGTTGTTTTACACACAATGCTTATTAAATACCACAGCTTCTTTTAAGAAATTGTAGCAAGAATACAAAAAC